GTACACCACTGGTTATATGATACAGTGTAGTTTTATAAGAAACACAACACAAGTTTTGGGGCCAGATACACGATAAAATTCTTCTGATGAATTTTTGTAAGGTTTTTGTTGTCAAGATTACCTAGTAATAAATACATATTTATGGTTCATAGATTTTATTTGTAGAGAGAAAATATTGAATTTTATTTAAGCATAGATACATTATACATCTATTTAAATGTTGATATTTAAAATTTTTAAGTTTTTAAATAGTAGTTAAATTATTTTATCACATTTGAGATATCTTGTTGTGTAAATGGTTGACACTATACTTAAGTACTTTAGTAGTAAATAATGTCTATATTATAGATCTTTTATAATTCATAATTTCCTTACCACCATATTTAATCTGTCATATTATCTATTTGTTTGTTTTTTTTTTACCATCTATTTACTTCTTTGATTGTTCTTATTGTTCATATTTTTGTAACAGATTGAATAAAACACTTAAAAATAAAAATAAATTCCTTACAGTCTCAAATCACTTCCTTCTTCTTTATTTTCTGAATTGTTTGAGTTTTTTTTTAAATTATTTACATTTTTCTCAAATTTTCCAAATTCGGTACCTAGATATAGGTATATATAGTACTTTAAGCCTATATATTTTGGCAGTAAAAATCTATAAAATCATTTGTAACAAATGATATATTATAATTAATAAACTCTCGATATTCTTTAACTGATATTTTTACTTATACAATATAATTTTATATATATAAAAATAAATTATATATAATAATAATTTTAATTAGGCAAGTACTTTATAATTCAATTACAAAAATAAAACTGAACTCAATAACAATCAAAAAAAAAAAATTCACCTTATACAATCGGCAAATTAAATACAAATAAAAAAAAAAATTTAAAGGAATACCATAATAACAAGTAAATAGTTGCAATATCAAAAATATCAGATAACTATAAATTAAATTTCAGGAAAATATGACTGTAAAAAAAATATAATATACCATATTTTATTTAATCCAATACCAACTCCATTTCATCTGGATGTTTTGAGTATTTAGTTTTATGCTCTTCGAATAGTTTAGTCAACTCGTCAATAAATATATTGTGGTATTTCTCAATATCTTCTTTTTCTGGTTTAACAATTTTTGGTACATCGATTGGCTTACCAACTGAAAATAACATACATTTTTGATTAAATTATATTGTAATATCTTATCAGTTATCACATTATAGGGTCAGAGGTTTTGTTTATTTCGTATGTTAAATTGTTGAAGGTGAATAGTAAAGGGGAACAGAAAAGGCAACATTTCATATCAAGAGAAAACACTATTTTTAATTGTAAGAGTTAAAATCTAATTTTATTTTTAACTGAAAGGTCAATTCAATATATTCGAACTATTAAGTATAAGTATAAATTTCCTCACTAGTACCTAAATAGTAAATAATATATGAGAATAACTCGAATTAATTTTCATTCTTTATATAAATAATAATACTTCCTAAATAATAATTCCTAACTACCAAATATCAGACATCAGTGATTGATAAAAAAAAAAAATTATAAATTATCTAGATGGTTTCTTAAAGAGACAAATATATTTATGATATATAATAAAAATTTCTG